TTCCATCTTTGCACAAACTTATCTCGTGCCCTCATTGGTCATGTGCGCGTTCGTGTGTGTTGGAGGAGGGGCTCTGTAAGGAAGTGGCAGATTTTTTCCGGTTGTGTATTTTCAAATTCTAGCGCACTCCAGCTGGTTTCTCCAAAATTACCTACCCCACCTTTAAGTGCTTTGACAAAAAATCCATAAAAAAATGTCATCTGTGGAAGCCGTAGTACTGTAAAAAGCACGACCAATCATTTTAGCCGACCCGGCTAAAATAACTGGATGGCCTACCTGCCTGTCAGCCTTCCATCTTTGCACAAACTTATCTCGTGCCCTCATTGGTCATGTGCGCGTTCGTGTGTGTTGGAGGAGGGGCTCTGTAAGGAAGTGGCAGATTTTTTCCGGTTGTGTATTTTCAAATTCTAGCGCACTCCAGCTGGTTTCTCCAAAATTACCTACCCCACCTTTAAGTGCTTTGACAAAAAATCCATTAAAAAATGTCATCTGTGGAAGCCGTAGTACTGTAAAAAGCACGACCAATCATTTTAGCCGACCCGGCTAAAATAACTGGATGGCCTACCTGCCTGTCAGCCTTCCATCTTTGCACAAACTTATCTCGTGCCCTCATTGGTCATGTGCGCGTTCGTGTGTGTTGGAGGAGGGGCTCTGTAAGGAAGTGGCTGATTTTTTCCGGCTGTGTATTTTCAAATTCTAGCGCACTCGAGTTGGTTTCTCCAAAATGACCTACCCCACCTTTAATAACACATCTGAGTACTTATTCCACCACTGTGTTTTGTACCCGTTTACTAAGGTAACTTATTCTAATGTCTCTTGTCCGCAGCCGAGAAACATTTTCCTCCATGGCCGTGACCGCCATGTTCGTATTGGGGACTTTGGCCTGGCCTGTAAGGACATCCTCATGGACGGCCATAAGAGCTCCACCTCTCCCAGCACTGGTAATAATTCACCTTTTTATTAAATCGTTTTTTTTGTTTCACAACACAGTACTTCACAGTATCACCACTAGATGGCGCTCTATGCTTTAAAGTCACACTTTCTGATGTATTTTTGCAGATTCCTCACATACCACAGGTGTTGGTACCTTTGTGTACGCTGCACCAGAACAACTGAGGGGCTCCCATTATGATTCAAAGGTAAACATATTCATACTAAAAAAAATTACATATATACGTGCTATAATATTTTGCCACTGTTATTTTTAATTAAGTGTATTTCAAAAAATATTCTGTTTTACTACCAAAGGACTTTCTTGAGCAAGGCAGGACAAGTTTATTTAGCACATTAAACACAAGGCAAAGTGCTTGATAATGCAACCGAAACACATACAATCAAATAAAAAGCCACAGAATAAAATACAAACAAAACAAGCAATAATTACAAGTAATTTCTTATTATAACTCATGTATGGATATTGCACATTTTTAGGCCAAAGAAAGTGATGAATTAACAAGCAACCACCACAAAAGAGAAAAAATACAATTAGCGAACATTCTTTCATAAAGACAGTATGTAAAACATCACATGTGTTGATAAAATGTAAAGAACAATGATTATTCAATAATTTAGTTAATTATTTACATCCTTAAATAATAAGAAATAAGGAAATCGGCTTGATTATTGCTTTTAAGAAAAGGTACATTTCTCTACTAAATAGATATCCTTTATCATTTCAGAAATGTCTTGTAAAGTGGGCTGAAACCATGTCCTATACTTTACAAACTTCATCCCCTTTTATTTCAATCAGGAGAGACTTCATTTTGTTTAAAGAACATTTATTGACACATGCCATGATAAATGTTAAGTCTTTGGCGATTAGACCCAGATCCTGAAATCGTATATCTAAAGGGGGAAATGCAGCCGTGAGCATAGAGAACCTCCCGGGGTCTAGACACTGGTGATGATGCTGAAGATCTGGATTTGATGAGGCGATGGGATGAGGTCTTTGGATTAGCTCTCTTGGCACTGGATGTGATGAAAGGAGGTGGATGGGGAGGAGGTGGTCAGCAGCATGACATGCAAAGGAGTGATGGGAGAGGGTTGCGCAGCAGCATGACAACTTGAAATCCCGCGCCAGCTGACAGCAGGAGAGGAGACCATTTTAAAGTTTGGCTGCAGCACGATGATTCGCTGCTGAGATTGTGGTGAATGTAATAGGTTAACAGAAAGCCTGTGATGAGCTGATTATAAGCAGCAGTGGAGTGAATGTATACCAGTCTTCTTGAAAGAACTTACGCTGAGCTTCATTTAATCATCATTTTTAATTCTAATGTCTTTTTTTTACAGCTGTAATTCTAAATGTCATGTGCTATTGCTCCCTCAGTCAGACATGTACAGCATCGGAGTCCTGGCTCTGGAGCTTTTCCAGCCCTTTGGGACCGAGATGGAGCGCGTCCGGACCCTCGGGGACCTGAAAGAGGGGAAAATCCCAGACTCCTTCTGCCAGAGATGGCCGGATCTGAGTAAAAACATCATGAAGCTGACGAGTAAAGAGCCAGCTGTTCGGCCCACAGCCAGCGAGCTTCTACAGAGTGAACTCTTCTGCAGTAAAGACATAGTATGTTGGGATATTTTTGAAACATATTAACCTTCTGGTAACTTATTGTGCTTCCAAAATGCAATAATCCTAATAATAACTAAAACACAAAATGCAATAATCCTAATAATAACTAAAACACAAAATGCAATAATCCTAATAATGACTACAACACAAAAAGCAATAATCCTAATAATAACTACGATACAAACTTTTCTTTTTCCTCTTCAGGTGATTCATGGTCTGCAGAGAAGGGTTGAAGAGCAGGAGGAGGAGATCATGCAGCTGAGGAGACAGATCAGTCGGCTTCAGAGCTCAGACCCCTCTGAGTCGGACAAGTCCTAATGCTTAAAGAGTAATTGCCTCAAAGACTATCAAAATTGGATTTATTCACCCACTGCTGTACCATGTTTTGCTCGCTTGGTACAAGTGGCAGAGAGAGAGAGAGAGTGTGTGTGTGTGTGTGTGTGCGCACGCTTGAGTGTGCGCGCGCTTGAGTGTGCGCATTTGAGTGTGCGCATTTGAGTGTGTCTTGTACACCTGAATCTAATGGTGCAATTATTTATTTTAATTTAGCTGTTCAATAAAAACTACTGCTGCTACATCATGTGGGATGTCTGGGAAGAAGTGTTATGTTATTTCTGATCATTTGAGATGTTGCTTTGGAAGGGGTATACTTATAACAAATTGAAAAAGTGACCTATAAGCAGAATTTACAATGTGTGTCATGATTTTGTGCAGCCTCTTGTTCCTGAAGAAGATTCTGCACATTGTCGGCAAATTAAAAACATGTATGGACACGTTAAACCTTTCAATTTTTATTTTTCATGGTGACAGGGCACATTTATTTCAATGTTCAGACGCATGTCTTTGTTCTGTGACCTGTACATGTGGTTTATTGTGGTTAAAAGGTTGAGTTTTTGGACCATGGGAATGCTCAGTTTTATGTTGACAACTTTTAAAAGTATAAATATTGTGGCCTACATTGGGTACTGCATAAACATTCCTTAAAATGGGCATTTCAGCATGGATAAATTAAATTATGCTGTCACTTTCTGCTGCTTATGGCAACGTAGTTATTCTAAAACCACTTATTTTACATTTTAATGGATATAAAGTGCATATGTATTATAAATTATACTACACAAAGGTCATAGGAGTGTACACAAAGATGCTTTATGGTGTACATGCGACGGATCTTCCCAAAAGACGTTCCCTCTCAGAGGAATGGACCAATGGGAGACCTCGTTTCATTTCAGGTACCCGGATGTACCCGTGGGCAATTAGCTACGTCATTGTTCACCGCCGGACACCCGCTGGAAATAAGGAATGGATTTACAACCGCTACTAACGTATTCATAACAGATTCCAGGTGAGTGGTTTGTTGATTTTACGATTCAGTGCTACTTTAACCTTGCAGCTGTGTTATTTCTGTACACCTGAGTGGCTCTGATTAGTTGTAGTAGCCTTAGACCGGTTCTCTGTCATGTCGGAGAGAGAAGCACCACAACCACCGGTGTCGAGCCCCTCCTTTTTAGGCTACTTAGACCTCCAGTTACCCCGGTCAACGCGTTGTAAACAAAAAACTGCTATTATGCGTTTATAGTATTTATTTACGTTATTTCCCGCGGTTATTTCCCGCCGTTGTTCAGCTTCCATCGTGACGAGCTAGCTAACATGGTTAGCATCATGGCTGTATAAAGACGACTGGAAACAGCGTTGGAGGCGGATCTCAGTTCATTCCTATGGTAGTTGCTCAGTGGCGCATTGAAGCACAAAATGAAGCGACTGTAGCTGTAGAAAGAACCAGGATCATCCGGGGCCTTTTGCCCACTGAGCATGCGCATGCGCAGTCGAGGTTTCGCCTTAAGCCCTGCATCCGATCTCCCGCGCTGGGCTCAGTGAAATTAATAGAGAAATAGATAGATAATTAATGTATTCCTTTTACGATATTATTGTGACAATCAATCTGCAGGAATTGCAAAGTTTCTTGGTCAATGGGGGAAAGTCTTTTTGAGCCAAAATGACGTCACGGGAGTTGTAGTAGAACCGTTTGGCCACTACAGCCATTCACAAAATTGGCTTCAACGGCTGTCGCACTTCCTTGGTTAGCATCGATACTACCGCACGTAGTGGTAGCTAGCTCCGTTGCTAGCTATGTGTAACGGTCGCTGTTTCCATGGTGTTCGTAGCTTCGATAGCCTCTTGCTGCTAATCAGTCATTCTGTTCCTGCTTTTGGTGTGAATGGTGAGTTTTTAATCGCTTTCCTGTCTCTAACAATGAGTAAAAGAGGGGTTTAAAGCGAGTTTTGGTGCGGTTTAGAGACGCTGCGTGTAAAGGCCTAGCAGCCGTCTGTTAGCCAACGTGAGCCAGAGCAGGTGGGAGGGAACAGCTGTTGTTGTAAACGTGCTTCCAACCAGCACATTTCCTCTGTCGGGGTTTTTGAACTAGACATGTTACTAGGTGACTTTGTATTAAGTTTGTCGTGTTTAAAATATTCTTAACACAAGTTAATATATTACCACTGTTTTCTGGCTTTTCCTTTTGAATGGAAGTGTCCTTGAGTTGCACATTTGTACACAAGCTCTCAGCATCAACATAGCTTTCCACTTTCCATAACAATACTACACATATTTTATTATTCTGAGTACTTTGCCATAGTTTACTGTATGTTGTTTTTTTGGTATATCCAGATTAATTTAAATCAGTTATATGTCTTAATTTACAATAGTTTTTCTTATTTCTTTGGTTGTTTTTCTTACTTTGTATCTTCTTTAACTGTGTTTTTGTATGCACCATATACTTCAAGGCAAATTCCTGGTATGTGTAAACCTACTTAGCAACAAACCTGTTTGTGATTCTGATTTCTACCTCAGAGAGCCAAGTTCATTTAGCTTTTAGATACAGGTAGAGGTTGAATGAGAACATCATTCACGATACATTCCCTGCTATTATGTTTTCAAAGCTTTTGTTATTGAGACTTTGATCAGTTTAATCTGTCAGACAGGACTTTACTCCCACATTAAGCCTCTGTAGTGTCTTGTTTTATCATAATAATAAAATAAAATTTACATGCAACCGGAACTCAGGGCTGATAGTTTGAGCTCCCACTGAGTTTGGTTACTTTGCTCAATAAAACATGAATTATTAATTTGCTTGCACGTAAAGTAGGATCACTGAGACGTTATTATATTCTGGATATGGCTTTAAGTGGTTGTAATCTAAATGATCTCTAATCAAATTAATTCTGGGTGTCTTTTTTTTATAACGATTAAAAAGTTCTGATGTTGTCAATTAATTCAGACTTTAGTCACACATGATAGCAACACACACAATAGATGTTCTGAAAAACAAAAACTTTGAACATGATCTGCATTTCAGCACCTCGTAAAACGGTGTTCTTCTGTTTCTGCCCCTCATACAGCAATGAACAATGACCATAGTTGACAGATCTTCAGAACATTCTGACCACGAGTCAGTGGGGTGTAAGCGATCTCCCTTTACCAGTGGAGACGCGGGGATGGATGGCAGCTGTTCCAGCAGCTGGGCGATGGGTCCCACTATGTCGAGCGACTCTCCCAGGATGAAGGCGGCAGGAGGCTGCCTGGGCCCCACGCCGGGAGCCGCCGTCTACAACAGCACCGCCTCCTCTGGGGACCGGCCCAAGGAGCAAGGTAGGAGCCAGGGCTTTTATCTGCTGGGTTTGTTTTTGGTTTATTGGGTTTATTAGTCCAAAGTCAATTTTAATGTCAATCTTTCAGTTTGTGTGTACAGACAGAGAGATCAAAATACTGTTTCCAACAATCCCGAATACAAAAATACAATTATACAATATAAAAATATGTATATCCTATATACACAATCAACAGACACATATGCACTCATTAAGATAAAAAACACAACAATCAATATATACAAAATAACAGTCACTTCAATATTAATATCTTTATTGCAAGATTGTCCATAGCAGCGTAAAAATATAAATATATACAGCATGCAGTTATTCTATTAGAGCATGTATCAAAAGTAGATAAACAAATCTTCACTTTATAGTAAAATAATAATAAAAGCCACATAGTTGCACCTGCAAGGTGAATACAGCTGGTAACAGAAAAAGTGTTTGAATGCGTACATTAACAGGTTTATGATATCACTGCCCCGTCTAAGACACGATCTGACTTTAATTACATTTGACTCGAGTGTTTCGTCAACTTAATGTGTTGCTTAAAATAATACTTCTGCATACAGTATGTGACACTGTGAGTGTTGCACGGCCAGATACGGCTCAGCTGACTCAGATGAGGAGAATATGATACATTATGATGTGATATGCCGCGGACTGTACTTAATGTTACTTTGATCCGGTTACTTATGTTTTGGCAGATATTTAAGTAAGCTTTCTAAACGCTAATGTTATAATAGTCAGATTGCTCTAATTCATTTTCACGTTCACACAGTCGGTGATTTTTGCCGGCCGTCTTTCCTGCAACGGCAGTTTTTCTGTATTTCCTTTCTCCTGTAATATGACTTGATCGCTTTAAAATCTGCACACTGAGCTCTGATTGGTCAGCAGGCGGTGCTTTCACTGAGTTGATCTCTTATCCTGGAACCTAGGTTAGCCGTTCAGCATCAGTTACCATGGAGATCTAGCCCGCTAAGAAGTGAACCAGCGTCGTAGGACCGGAAACCCAGAGTTTTCCCTGAAGTTAGCCGGCTAAGCGAAAATCCGGCTTCGTAGTGCAGGCCTCTGGGCAAACAAAATCCCACACAGACAGAAGACAAACAGACAAATAAATAGAAAACCAGTCGGCTAAAACAAAAATGTCAATAATAAACAATAAATGTCAGTACGGCAGCACCTCCTCCCCGCGACAACCTGTCCAGTGTTGGGACCCCTCCAAAATGCAAAAGTTGAATCCGGAATGATTGGGAACTTTATCCTCTTAACACATTTGAAGAAGGGGCCCTATATTTTCCCAAATGTATTTGAGGAGCCACTCAGAGAAAACCTAATCCTTTCCATCTTCAGGAAAAAAAAGGATATCTCTTATCCAGTGAGTTTAATATGGAGGTACAGGATCTTTCCATTTATCAGCTGTGTGATAAACTACACACATTCCCCTCCCATGTTGTCAAGCAGGACAGTCGGACACGGATTTAAGGATTATATTTTCCCGCCATTAAAGGAAATTCCTCTGTTCACATGCATAAGTAACACCAAGCAGCACAAATGAAGCTAAACCATGGTTGCTGTCGTACGATAGTGTGACACAACTGGTTTTGTGGGTGTATTGTGTTGCTGCTTCCATTCTACTCTCATCCATAGTTACATAACCGGTCCAGTTATGAAGTGAGGCCAAGATCAATCTCCTGAGCCTGTGACGCAACTGGTTTTTGTTTATGAAGAGCAGCCGCCTGACTTGTTTAGCAGGAACACAAATAATAAATATTGCTTGTCTTGTTCTTTTAAATAATTTTCCAGTCTTACTCGGTTGTCAGGATGAGATCACTTATCACTCTTTTAACTGGAAGCTATTGACTTTATGCTGTATGTACATCAATATGTGTTTACATATGCAGTGGGGTTGAAGGATTTGGAAATGTAGGTATTATTGGACTGATATTGCAAATGTGATTTTGGAGGGAAAGGCCATTTCTGCCTCATGGTTCACATTTTCATTGAAGATATATAAAAATAATCGTGTTTTGTTTTTGAGAGGATCTTTAGGCCGGGAAATCTCTTGAGAAACACAATACTTAATTTAGAATATTATGTTTGACATATTTAGTCTCTAAAAAATATATTACCTCCTCCACCCATTTGGATATAACTGTTGTCCAGATTGTGATTTTGATAAGATTCAGATGAATTGTTCAGCCCTAACATCTATTTCAGCATGTATACAGATACTTGTTGATAACCTGTTCCTAAATCTGTTATTATGAATATTGTTGTCTCTGTGTTTCCAGTGATAAGCAGTGGAGATGGCATCGACACGCCCCAGAAGGTCCTCTTCCCTCCAGAGCGGCTCAACCTAAAGTGGACTCAGGTTCAGCGCATTGGTGCCGGTCTGCAGAACATGGGGAACACCTGCTTCCTCAACTCGGCGCTGCAGTGTCTCACCTACACCCCGCCGTTCGCCAACTACTTGCTGACTCGGGAGCACTCTAAAACCTGTAAGTCAGTGTTTCATTGTGCCGCCTCACTTTACGGTCTTGAGTTATTATCACATCATGTTCTTTATTCAAGTGACTGTTATTTTGTACTTTTTGATTGTTGTGTTTTTGTTTACATGAAAGGGGCGCGGTTAGCAACATTTGACCAATCACAAACATGGAGAAGCGTACTGACAGCGCAGCGTCATACTTCCTGTATGAAAAGTGAACGTTAATATTAGTCAAATATGAAGAAGTTAAACTTTAAACATCCATGACTTAAACACTTTATCCAGGATAAAAGCCACATAGCTGCAGTGATATCACTTCCCCCTCTAAGACACGAGTGGATCTGACTTTAATTACATTTGACTCGAGTGTTTCGTCAACTTAATGTGTTGCTTAAAATAATACTTCTGCATACAGTATGTGACACTGTGAGTGTTGCACGGCCAGATACGGCTCAAGAAGCTGAATCAGATAAGGAAACATACATTATGATGTGATATGATATGAATGATAATGGGACACATCGAGGTCTGCACTCACAGTGCCGCGGACTGTACGTAATGTTACTTTGATCCGGTTACTTATGTTTTGGCAGATATTTAAGTAAGCTTTCTTAACGCTAATGTTATAATAGTCAGATTGCTCTGAAGGTGATATTCTATTCATTTTCACGTTCACACAGTCAGTTGATTTTTATTTAGATCTTAATCTGTGCACAAAAATGTGTCTTTGACAGTGTGTGTATATATACATATTTGCACACATATTTGTATATACATTGTTTTTATATTCGGGATTGTGGGAAACAGTATTTCGATCTGTCTGTACACACAAACTTGAAGATTGACAATAAAGTTTTCTTGACTATAAGCTGCTTCCTGGTCTGTTTCAAGTCTAACTCATCAATGTTTTGCCCCTCTGTTTCGGCCACAGGTCACGAGCCGGGGTTCTGTATGATGTGCACAATGCAAAACCACATCATTCAGGTCTTTGCCAACTCTGGGAATGTCATTAAGCCCATCGGTGTGCTCAATGAACTCAAAAGTAAGTGTTTGTCATTTAACTTTTTCCAAAATGTTTACCTGAAATGACTGACAGGAGGCGCTGTGTAGCTGTTTACCTTTTTTACATTTTGGAGGGAAATTCTCTGGTGGTAGTTTGCAACAGGCTTTTGACTTATTTGTTCAACCTAACATCTACGAGTAAGTGTGGCATCGATTATCAACTTCTGACATATTTAACTGTGTGTGTGTTTTCCCCGTCTCACAGGGATTGCTAAGCACTTCCGCTATGGCAGCCAGGAGGATGCGCACGAGTTCCTGCGGTACACAGTGGATGCTATGCAAAAGTCCTGCTTACCTGGACCCAAGTACGTTTTCTACTTATAACCCTACGCAGTTAAGGATACCAGTTGATTAAATATCCCTTTAAGTTGCTAAATGGGTCCGTAAGTTAACTGTACGTACATGCTGATGTATTTAACTTACTGCAAATACCTTCCAGTCTAAATCTTGCAGAAACATTAAAGTATGAATGTTTTCCTGCAGAAACGTATAAAAAAAAGGTTTAACGCTTTTGCCAAGTAGGTTACGTACACTTATGAAGGACACATGCATGTTTAATAGACACTCTGGACTGACCATTGGGGTCCTCGGGGGAATAAAAGGGTTTTTAAGAACCACGAGTATAAAGGCGATTTTCATTCAGCAGCAACAGGAGGCCTCTCAACTAATTACTCCTGCTCTAATTCCTCACTCCTAGTCTCTCAGCTGTAATATGTTGTGACTCTGTGTGTAAGCCTGTGAAAGGACTTTTCCAGCACAGCCAGAAAACATGTTTCTTTATTAATAAGGCAACCAATCAGTTACGTCTTTGTTCTAACTGTCTTTTTCATCCTTAGATTGGACAGGCAAACGCAGGCAACCACTTTCATCCATCAAGTGTTTGGCGGCTACCTGAGGTCCAGAGGTATGTGACAAGTATTGGACTTCTTATTCTTGATTTGTTTCTTTTACATTAGGTTATTTATTTATGATTTTACAGCTTTTTCTAGGCTAACATCAAACTCTCCTTTTTTCTTTTCCAGTTAAATGTTTAAACTGCAAAGCCGTATCCGATACATTTGACCCGTTTTTGGATATAACTCTGGAAATAAAGGTAATCTGAACTTTTTTAAAGTCCTTTTTATGGAACTGTAATTGCATAAGAAAATGCATATGTTTGCAAAGATCTTAAGAACTATACTGAAATCCATGTTCCCTCCATGCAGACGGCTCCCAGTGTCTCAAAGGCTCTGGAGCAGTTTGTAAAGCCAGAACAGCTGGACGGAGAAAACGCCTACAAATGCACAAAGTGAGTTGTTTTACAGACACAATCATTCAAAAACAATCAGCTTTGTATTTGTTTGTGTAGCTATTATGCATTCGCCTGCTAACGAACTCAACATTTATTCCGCTCAGGTGCAAAAAAATGGTCACCGCCTCAAAGAAATTTACCATCCACCGCAGCTCCAACGTGCTCACCCTGTCGCTCAAACGCTTTGCAAACTTCAGTGGAGGCAAACTCACAAAGGTACCGTGACTCTAACATCCGGAGCCATGTCCCAGCTAAAGGACAGCACCTGTTTGATATTAATCAGCTGTTTGTTCCCCACCAGGATGTGAAATATCCGGAGTATCTGGACCTGCAGCCCTTCATGTCTCAGTCTCAAGGAGATCCGCATCTCTACGCTCTGTTCGCTGTGCTGGTCCACTCTGGGTTCAGCTGTCATGCCGGACACTACTTCTGCTATATTAAGGTACTGGCACTGATCACACCACTGTTCTAATCTATCAGCTGCCGTTGCCAAGTACACATGCTCACATTTGCCTCTCCAGCAGTCTATTAACACCTCTCAGCAACAGTTAGACGCAGCGTTCCTACAACAACTGCTGCTCTTAACAGACCCAGGTCTTGACCTAGAACAACGTTTCTCTCCAGCTCAAAGAGTACATTAACACTGTGTTACTATGCTGTTCACATATTTATCATTCATACATACATACATACATACATACACACATACATACATACATACATACACACACACACACATATACACACATATACAGACAGACACACACACACACATACAGACAGACAGACAGACAGACAGACAGACAGACAGACAGACATACACATATAGAGGCATACACACACACAGACAGACAGACAGACAGACACAGATACATACATACTAGAGATGTTAGGATTCACCGATTCGCATCGGTGCACCGGCATAAACGTTCAAGATGCGAGTGCACCGGTTGAAAGAGTGCACATCGGCTACAGTTTGGGTTGAACTCGCGATGCATCGATTGTAGCGTCTTTGCATCGGCGATTCATTCATATAAAATCCCCTCATCCTGTCAGCACTCAGCAGAGACGATCTTTGACCTTTGCTTCGCCACTACGGAGGCCGAGAGTCTCAGTTATCAACACACACGGAAGTCGAGGAGAAAGAGAAACACAGCGCACCGAAAAATACCTACAAAACAAACGTTTGGCAACACTTCGGATTGTTCAAGAAAGACGGTCAACTTGAAAAAACGCTCTCAAATTGTTAACGATGCCGAGCCGCTTTAAAGTAAGTAGTACGAGGAACTTAGCGACGCACATAAAGAGGCGACATGGGGTCTGCGGCTGAAAAGAGAAACCTGAAAGTGAGACACATGAGTTAAATCACTCAGGGAGGTGTTCTGTCAGAGAGAGGGGTTCAGCTTACAGCAGCCTGTGACGGCCAATAATAGTTTAAATGTCTTACTTACAATTGTAAGCAGCTATGAAATACCTGTGTGTGAAAGGTTATTTGTATTCTTTATTGTTCATATAGAAACCACTGCTTTCTGCTCACTGGTGAGTTAGCCTCTGAGTGTTAAGCACATCAGGCTGGCAGCTGTATGGGCATTGCACTATGGTAGTTGTTATTTGCACATTGTTAATCATGGGCAAGCAATGCATCCTTACAT